GGTGGGAGGGGGACCCCCTGCCTGGCCCTCTCCCATCACCCCTCACTCCTGGAATGTGAGGAAGAGGAGGGAAAAGGAGAAGAAAAAAAGGGTTGCCTTTACTCTCCAGGAGTGAAGAAACGGATGTGAGATCATGGAAATCTCTGTGTATTTCACTCTTTTTCTTCTTCTTCCACTGGCTTTTTCCCTCCTCCTCATACCACCGAGTTTACGAGCTACAGTATATAACTGAGGAACAGCGAAGAGTAGAGTGGACTGAAGCAGCTTCTGAGTGTGTGTGTGTATGTGTGTGTGTGTGTGTGTCGGTACGGTGAAGATCGAAGTCCACCTTGGGAGCAGTAACTCACTTTGGAGTGCTGAGGGCTGTCACAGGAAAGAATTCACACACTGCAGCCATGAAAACTGAATTAAGAAGCTGATTTACTGGGCAGAGACGATTAGAAACAAGAAGACAACTTTTGTTCCACTGCAACGAGAACATAAATTATGAAAATGAGCTGAAAATGGGTTTCTCAAGCCGTTTTAACGGGGTCTTCAATCCAGCCTCCGTGTGCTTCGGCTGCAGGCAGTCGGTCTCCAGGTTTCAGCGTGAGCACTGATTGCTGTCCGCGTTTCTTTTCAGTAAACGTGATGTGTTTTGAATGAGCGAGGAGCAGTGAGCGGCTCTGCTGGGTGGTCAGTGGTTCATCATTGCACTGCCCTCTTGAGACAGATGGAGGAAGTTCAGGACTCCAGCTGGACCTGACCTCACAACACCCTCAGGATATCTATAGTAGTACGAGTGTGTTAGTGTGTGTGCATGAAATGGATTCAGTTTCAATACACTACCTCCTTTAGTGTTTTTTTATAGCCCGGCCATCTGCTCTGAACAATAAAAACATAGTTGATCCCTTAAACTCATCCTTTCCTTTTTACTAGCCCTGTTTACTTTTGTTTATGTTTTGTTTAATGAGCGTCTCTGTGTCCTCCCCCCCTCCAGATGCCAGCATGTCGCCTGAMACCCCTAAGCAGAGCCACTGGTGCAACGTGGCGTACTGGGAGCACCGCACCCGCGTGGGCCGCCTCTACACAGTGTACGAGCACTCTGTCAGTATCTTCTACGATCTACCTCAGGGCACAGGCTTCTGCCTGGGCCAGCTCAGCCTCGATCACCGGAGCAGCACCGTTCAGCGCACGCGGGGCAAAATCGGCTTCGGGATCCTCCTCAGCAAAGAGCCCGACGGCGTCTGGGCGTACAACCGCAGCGAGCACCCCATATTCGTCAACTCCCCAACTCTGGACATGCCAAACAGCAGGACTCTGGTTGTGCGGAAAGTGATGCCGGGATACTCTATCAAGGTGTTTGACTATGAGCGCTCGTGCCTCCTGAGGCACTCCATGGAGACAGACTTCCTGGATGGACCCTATGACCCGAACAGTGTGCGCATCAGCTTTGCTAAGGGCTGGGGTCCTTGTTACTCAAGACAGTTCATCACCTCCTGCCCCTGCTGGCTGGAGATTCTCCTCAACAACCATAGATAACACTCACAAACTATCCCAAATATCATCTACCTAGATTTAATATAAAGTTTTATATATTATATGAAATATATATTATACTTGTAAATAATGAGTCATTTTTACAATGTAATTATTTATGTATGGTGCAATGTGTATATGGACAAGAGGAAAAACAGAAAATGCACTTTGGCATATATATATATATATATATATATATATATATATATATATATTGAAATTTCAATACCAACTTGAGAAATTATACAGCGAAGTTAGGATAAGCCTGGATTTGGTGTATAGTTTTCATATACTATTAATATCCAGACAAGAAGCTAACACCATTCACACATTGATAATAAAGTGTTTGCATAATGATTCTGTTTGGTCTGCATCAATAGCTCTTTACATTATCACATTTAATTTTGTTTTCTTTACGCTATTTGTATAATTAAGAACTCAAAATATTTCACCTTGCACGGTTTATCTCTGATAGAATCTATTAGAATGATATGTTCCCACTTACAGTGGTTATATGACATTATTAGCAAAAGGCTTGCTCTCTCCGTTTTAAAGCACTTCATATAAAACTGAAACCCTTTTATTTAATTGTAATTTTTTTGTGCTAAACCCATCAGAGTCATGATKTCTGTGTCATTTGTGGTTATCGAAGAGGTAATGAAACAACTCAACAAATTCCAGCTTCCATCTCCGCTCCAGTAGAATCAACAGTATGAAGCTTATAATGAATGCTGTTAAGCACTCCTGCATAACATACCATGCAAAATACACTATTTTAACTGCTAAATGCATTTTATTGTGCACTTGGAGTCTCTGGGAATGCAGATAAGTTTAATTAAGTTTCTCCCTGTGCTGCGTAGATATCTTTATGTTCTTTTTTGGTCTTATTTTTCAATGCGTTTTCTCTCTTTTCTATGACGTTTTCTGAACTCCTACTATGACAAATTATTTGCAGCAGAACTGCCAAATCATGTCCGGACTTACCAACAATTTCATCGTCTTCATTCTCCTCTCGCTTTAGGTCAGACTCTGGCAACATGTAAAGCTGGCTGGACAAGTCTTCCCTTGTTGACGTCTTTTAATTAATTTGCTATATAGTAATAAAACCCTCAATCAAACTAGATTGGACTGCTCTGGAAGTTGTTGGGGGTAAAGCACCTCGTTTTGATTTTTAATTTTCTAAATTTTATTTATAAACTTTTATTTAACCAGGCAAATCCCATTGAGATAACATTTTGTTTGCAATGGAGGCTTGGGCCTAAATGCTATCTATTGTACGTGGTTTTTTTGGTTTTAAAGAGACAGCATCAAAACGAGTTGATCTGAGACACACCTCAGAAAAGGGGTGAAAGAGGGGCTTGTGGAGTTACAATAAGGATGAATTCAGACTAAAACATTGTRGTTCCACTTTATTTAGACCCCARCTGAATGATATAAATGTGAAAAAGAAGGATTTGAAAGCATGACATGTCTCATTTAAGATGCGCTATCTCATCTGAGCTGATCCAGATGTCCTTGAGGTCCTGAGGAACCCCAGTAATGACAACTGTGAGGAGACCRGAGGGTAGAGGGACAGAGTGGGAGGAAACAATCAACTAACCCAATCTCACAAGTCAGGGTTTTTTTTTCCCCTCATTTTTTCTCCCCAAAGTTCTTCCTAATGTGGCGTGTCATTGTTGACCATGTTTGTCTCACAATGGGCCTTGTTYTAACAGAGCACCCTGAAACCACCACAGGGATACTGGAATGTGTGCAGAGAAACCGGGAAGTTTTACAAGCCTGCTGGAATCTTAAAAACTACAGCCAAACTGGATGTGGTTTAGCTGGCTTCCTTCATAATTGCTGGTGTTGGGTTGTCAGGTTGGCGGTGATGGTGGTGAGAGGAGGGGGCGTAGCAATCCTCTGCCAGCTTTCAGCAAYGGAGGCATTCAGTGACGCTCTTGATTCGAATGTGAGGCAGTTGAAAGCATATGCTCTGAGTCTATATATTTATGTATATTTTTGTGTTTAAGGTGGGTTTCTTTTACGTTTCTGGACAACAACAGGAAAAAAAAAGCTTTATCCTGTTCCTCAGTTTGTCATGTTTCTTATTGAAAACACGTCTCCGATTGTGTGTGCTGCTGAGTGAGCGTCTCCKTCCTGCGCCTCATCCATAAAGGCTCCACCAGCCTCCTTTAGGCCCCGCTGCCTGTCTAGAGCCGAAACTATGAAGAGTTCAAACAGCAACGAGAGGAGTGGCTCCACTCCGCCTCCGTCTCTGCCTCCACTCTCTTCCTTACAACCGGGGGCCATTATCCTTGCTCCTTTGTGTCTCTGTTATGAGTGGGGAGGAAAAAAAAAGAGCCCACATCACCACTGGAGAGGAACTGACACGCCATTATATCGGGGTGGTGACGGGGTAGGACTCACAGTGAGCAGATCACACAAGCGCACTGCAGCGCGTACGAGAGGTGGTCCAATTAGACAAGGCTGGGGGGGCAAGTCAAACGAAAATACAACATCCACCCCTGGCTGCATCTCTCGCAAGGCGCCTGAGCTGGAATAGTTGTGGCAGGAGGAATGAAGTCTGGGCAAAGTGGAGAGAGAAGGGGAACAGCCATGTAAGCAGCTTTGTGTGCTTCATGAGCTCAGGAATGGTATTGATTAGCAGCAGCATAAATGGAGCCGCTCTCAGCCCCCACCCCCCCACCCCCAAATGTTTTTATAAAAAGCACCGTTTTTGTTCCCTATTAAAAGTTGTTTAGTTGGTRCAACTTTAACATTGACTTGGAATGGAAATCAGAGAGGAGAGCTACTGTGGAGCGACTTGCTCTTGAATGAACTGCTTTTTAAAGCACTGAGTTTTGAAACCCTGTTATTATGGCTTGTGTCCTGCAGCAGCCTCATTACATTCTTCAGGCTGTAGATTCTTTTTCCTTTAAGCCTCTTTGGTTCTCCTATATTCTCATTTTAAAACAAAGATGGTCATTGTACTTCTCTTGATATGTAAAAGCCATCATTTATTAAAGAAATGCAAGAGTTAGATCAACTCGTGTTGTGAAATCACAAAGGTAAAACCCTTTTGATCATACCTTAAAATTTGTTATGTGCGGTACAGCAAGACCTCTGAGCTAGAGCCAGTTTGTTACAACTAAAATCAGTCATCAAGGGTGGCGCATTTGAATCTGGTTGACTCCAAAAGTTAAACAATTGTAAATATTCACCTATTGATTACTTTTTGAGAGTTTGGTTTAAATTTGTTCAGTGGTTCATGAAATGTTTTGCTAACAGACACATAGAGTTGACTCCCAAAAGTTAAGACCAGCATTTTAAGGGAAGATTTTGTGCAGTGAGTAGCACTCATAGTATGTGATTGGGATGACAAACAGCTACTACCACACCGATTTTTAGCTCAATATCTGTAAAACTGGCTGAGTTAGGGCCATTTATGTGTTTACTAAGATAAGTTGACTGTGGCAGCCATTTTGAWCAGGGTTGACTCCAAAAGGTAATCAGTTGTAGAAAAGCATTCATTGCTTATTTTCTGAAATTTTAATTAAAAAATTCTCATGTGGTTTATTAGATATTTTGTTAACAGACATACATGCACAGAAGCACAGGCAAAAACATCCTCTGATACCTGATTGAGAAAAATAATCTGTAATGAACGAACAGAGTGTTGAAGCAGACCTAAGCAGAGTTAGTAGCTCATCCAAGCCAAACAGATGTGGACGCACTGCAGCTTGCAGCTACTGATGATGACCCCCCCCCCCTTCCTCGTGCACATCTGGGCCCAGTAAAAGCCCAGTGAGGTAATAGGACCTTTTGAAATGAAGCGCGATTACACCGAACGCTTCCTGCTCTCTCCTCTCTCATGAATGGCAGTGCCCGCGGAAGTCCTCTCACCTCAGCCGAGGGTGTTAATTATGGCTCCTTGCAGCAGCTGTCGTGCTCGCCACTTACCGGGCGTGCGAGCACATGYAAGTGTGCCGGGGATCCACGCTCTCAGAGGGGATTATGGGCTAACACGCAGTGCAAGATTGGGGGATAGAAAGGCTTATTCTTTCAGGTACTTTTCCAACTTCTAATGGGCTGAATTTCAGACAGTGGATGAGAAGATGTGTGACTGGTGCTTACGTGTCTCACAGGCATGTGTAGTCCTTCCACAGCACGTTTTAAAACTCAGTATTTTTGCTAAATCTGCCTTCCGCAGTGACATTTTAGCTTCTGAATGTCAAACCATGAATCTGCTTCTGTGCTGCGCTCCAATCAAGCCTGGATTAGAACATTCAGTAAGCATTTACATGCTCTTTTTTTCTTTTTCTTTTTCCAGAAGTCAAAAGCAGCCCTGGTCCTGATGCTCCTCTGCAGATCCCACCCTCCCGCCTGTAATTACAGGGTGCGCGGGGGCCTCTCTGACGTATGCAAAGGATTTATTTTAGTGACTTTCCACAGAGGTTAAAAGAATGCCACAGTGTGAGCGCACACACTAACACACCCTTAGGCTCAGTCGTTGTCGCCGCCTGCCTCCCAAACTTGAATCATTAGAGCAATGTGGTTCTCATTGTGGCAGGTTTATTAAACGTTTGAAAAACCTGAATTAACGTGTTTGGCCTATCAGGCRTGGAATGTAACTTCAAAAAGCGGGTTATACAGTGGAAGCTGTTGTGCTTTGTTTGTATTCAGCTCTTGACATCTTAAAAGCTAAGTCAAACTGGGCGAAGACATTCTGCCTTGACTTTAAGTGCACAGAAGAGTGACGCTGTTTGGTTGTTTATCTGGTCTAAACCGCTTTTTTAAAACTATCTTTAAATGCAGAGTTTGAAAGAGACAAGGGGTCATTATTGCTTGCTGGTAAAGGAGAGACTGAGGGACAGTTACATCTACAACCAAGGAACTCCTGGACTCAGCCAAATTCGAAATGGTTGCCACAGCCAGCTTATGGCATGGTAATAGGGTCAAAATTATAAATATATCCCATACACAGCCATGGCTACATTCTTGTAGCAGATCTATTCCAGAGCCAGCTACTGATCTGATTAATGTTGGTAACTGGTAACTGAACGGCCGGCACAGGCAAATGAGGAGACTACTCGTATGCTTTAGCACTGGAGA